TAAATAAAAGTTTAAAAGCATTAATTTAAGAGATAAAGAAAAACTTGCTTTGTAAATCTGCAAATAAGTTCACTTTAAGACCTAAATTGAATTTTCTCTCTTTGAACTTTATACGCTTCTATTTTTACTGACATTTTATTGAAGTTAAAGAAATGTGTCAATAATGAAACCTCAGAAAGTCTTATATTTCTTTTATTAGTAGAGGAATTAGATTTGAAAAGTAATAAAGCAGCATATAAATGATAAAACGTAGACTTAAATTTTAGCGAAGCATTCATTTGGGATGTACTGTACTGTACAGCACTGTACTGTAATGTACTGCACAGTAAAATACACATTCTGACTTTTATAAATATTGAAATACGAAAATTTATCTCTATAGATTTAAAATTAAAATATTAATAAGTATAAATGCATTTAATAATATTGAATATTGGTTTTGAAAAGTGGAAATTTGATTTGTATTGGTTAATATAGACTTTTATTAAATTAATTTTATAACTTAGCCGTAGGACATATTTATAAAATTGAAACACAGTATTGACCACAGCATTAAAAATGATCAGTACTTTGTCTTATTTTTCTAATAAATTTCATTCAATTTTATGAGCTTTGTTGAGATTTAAAATTAAAAATTCTTTGAAAAATTAACAAGCCATGCAATTAAAAATTTTAGTTCAGTATTTAACCTTTGAGATCTAAAAAAATATTTATAATTATATCTCGATGATATTGAACTGGTTGGTGTTTTAGCGGAATTAAACCCGATTTTCCTTCACGGAATTTCAAAAGGCCTAACCTACTTTGGTTAAAAACTATGGTCCTTTATTATAGGGATTTTAAATGATGAATAATTCTGAAATTTTCGGTTTAAAATCTGTTACAAAATACACAGATTTTATGGTCTGATTCGATAATTATCGTAATTAACGTAATTGAAATGTCAATTAATTTGTTTAAATAACGATATAAAATATCAACACACATTTAGCTTTCAATTTGAAAGAAAGAAATATCTTTCCTCTTTTTATTAATTATTATTATTATTATTATTTTTTTTTGTCAAACATATCAGTTGTACACAGTTCTCATATCGCGTACGTCGTTCATTGAGTATTGTACATATACAATTACAAACACACTATATACACGAAACTGAGAAATTAAAAAAAAAGAAAAAAAAGAGAAAAGATTAAAAAAATAATAAAACAATACTGTAAAAATTGAGATCTATATATATACATATATAGATAAAGATTATTGAATCCGATGCATTAATATATGCAATTATTGCATTTGTGAAGAATTTACGGTAGATAAAGATTTTTTAATAAATTATTATTAATTTTTAAAGATATCCTATTTATAGTCGAGTTGAAAATTTGATTTGGAAGTTTGATAAGGAAGAAGTTGGTAAGATGTGTATAAAATGATATTCTTCGTACGGACTATCTCGACAGTCCTCGTCACAACAAAATTAAAAAAAATAATAATAAAGGAGAGAATAAAATGGAAATTAAGAGTATAAATGCAAAAAGGAAGTTCTTGTCATGACAATAAAAATTATAAAGCGAACTTCCGAGTAAAAATAATTAATTTCGATTAAAATTATGGAACAAATGGTTTAGAAAATTGCACAGATTGTGTTAACGGCGATCTCATATAATCGAGATCGCGCACTCTCGATCTATCAACGATTCACCTAACTAGAGTAAAACTAAAATAAACTTATGAATTGGAAGCACACATACACAAGAGTTTTAAAAACTGAAAAAGTTCTCGTACCAGTGTCTACCAATGACTAGACATTACGTTATATACACTTATGAACTCTTACCTAAACTAAATAGCCTATAACTAAATAGCCGGTACCGATGGCTGAGATGTCGGTCTTGGATAACGTTCTTCCGCCTTGAGGAACAAGAGATGAGATCGAGGATCTTGCGCTGTTATCGTGGGAAGCGTACAGGAACTGGAGCCGAGTCCGTGGAAATAACTGGAAGGTGAATTGCAGCCACAAGAAACCAGTCCGTATGCGGAATTACTGGGGAAAGCACTAGTTGCGTGTGAGTGGGCCGAAAGTGAAGATAGTAAACTGCTGGCTGTGCTATAGAAACCCGGTGAACTGGAACTAAAGAGTTGCCCCGATAGTTCGGACTTCATAAGACCGGCAGGGGATAGGGGATCGTTAACGGATGCTCGTAATTTGGCCAAACCGGCCAGATCCAAGGAGCTGTATAGCGAGTGAGGATGGTTAAAGGAATGAGCTAGAGAAAGAGGAAATGTCCTGGCTGCAACAGCTTTCTCGCTATCCAGTGTCGGTGGTGCAGTGGAGAGCTGGAAACGGGCGAGCGGATCGAGAGTCGGAGGCAAGCAATGTCCTACTGGCAAGAATCCGCTCTCTTTTTTCACCGGCGCTTTTGGCTTACGTCTCGGTCTGTATTTGTAATCTGGATGTTCTTTCATGTGCAGGGCTCGCAATCTCTTTGCTTCGTCGATGAAAGGTCTCTTTTCTGCTTCGGTTAGGTGCTTCCATTCCGTTCCCAATCTCTTACTGATCTCGGAATTATGCATTTTCGGATTCTCTTGAGCCATTTTTCGTCTTTGACCTCTCGACCATACCATGAAAGCATTCATAGGTCGCTTAACGTGATCTGTTGTTGTCTTGGACATTTCTGTTTCTTCTGATCACTCTCGATGCACTTATCATACCCTTTCCAAGCTACCCGACTGCACCAACAGAAAATACAGTTTATTCGTTGCACACTAGCTAAATACGTCGCGTATCGTCCTGTTATTGGTTAGTCGACTGTCCGTCTACGTTGCGGTAGGCTGGAAATAGTAATAATGCCACGCCTCTTTTCTATTGTCACTTTGACGTCAGTGGCTGCGTCAGGAAACGGTAACTCTCTATTGGCTGCTGGCCGCCGACGTCTCATCGTCTTGTCTGAAGCGCCATCTGGACGCAGTTTGCGGCGGACGAAGTTTACAGCTTTTCTGCTGGCAGAATTGTTGCCGTTTTAAAAACAGGTAAGTCTATCAAATTGAACTTTTAAAAAGCCCACAATATATACTAACGATTTGGCCATAAAAGTGTTTCGTTTATAATTTAATTATCGTCCGTAAGAACACAGTTAACATGTGTTTATGACGTCATACCAGGTGCCTCGCTTTCATTCGCTAGTTGTCATGCCGCTTTATATTAATAAAAAAAAAAAAAAGCAGATAATTATTTCGAAAGTGATTCTCTGAATCTCTCAAATAATTTCTATTTAGTTTATTGTGTTTGGTGTCGCCATCTGGTATTAGAGGCAATATAAAATAAGCAATTTTTTTCATTTTTTATTCAGAATTATAATTAATTCATCTTGAAATGTTTTTAATTTCTAAATTTCCTCCATTTGCGTTTTCTATCCAGCGAATTTCTCATTGATTATAAGAAAAATTATAATTATTTCTTAATCTTTCTAATCTTGTTTTATGAATGATTAAGTAAAATATAAACCGGTTCTAGAAGGTGATATATCTTTTATAATTTCATATTTATTTCATTTCTCTCTTTATAACAATTGAATTAAGTTATAATTTCTTATAAATCATTTGTTTCGAAGCGTACAATGTTACATTTTTAACTTTTATGGCTATTTTATTTTTTATATCAGATTAGAAATGATAAATATGAACATTTAGTACATGACATTTAAAATAATTAATTAATTTCAACTCTTTCTGAGATTTTTCTGAAGCGTGATTAATATTTTAAGCCAAAAAGAAAAAAAAAATGAGATTAATTGTTCTAAATTTACTTTTTAATAATAACTTGGTCATTTTTTTTAAAATTGTTATAATAATTTATAGTTATTTATCATACGAGTATCACTAGTAGTTGATGCTTCGAACTGATTTGGTCGGGTGTTAAGTTCAGACTGAAGGCTTTCAATTGTATGTAATAGTCATCTTTATAAGATAAGGAACTTTTTCGTCGCTAGATGGAGCCAAATATAGACCCTCTAAAAGTATGCACTAAAGCTGGAAAAAAGATAACGGAAGAGCTCATTTATTTAAAAGGATTTCTGCGTACGAATATAATTTTAGACCTTTGTGATAAGTACCAAAACTTGGTCTATTTTTATACATTAGACGAATTTATTAAAGCAATTTTTAAATATTTTAATATTAAAATTTTAAAAATATTTAATAGATGCTCTTCAACTTTATACGGAAGTAAGAGAAGTTTATAGATCAAAACTTAAAAAAAAATACAATTTTATTCGTAATTAAATTGATTTATTAAAAGATAATTTCGAATTAGATTTCTCGATTTCTGCGGTTTATTAACGACTTAATTTACGGAGAAGATGGCAATTACAAAATAATTTGGATCGACTTTAAGTGGGACAATGGATAAGTCAACATCCATCAATCAGCATCCCATCAACAACTCGGCAAACAGAAACAGTCCCCGAATCCAGTCAGACGAACGGAGAATCCTCTCGACAAGAGAGAGAGAGAGATCGCATAGCCACCCTATTGAGAGCGACAAAGTGATCCTAAGCGGGGGGGATAGCGAGTGGACGGCCCTTATTGTGATCAGTCGATCCCTCTTAAATCGCCTTCACCACACAAGCTAACGAATTCAATGGGCTTCGCTCCTTATCTAAGCCAGAAATGCCTGCTTTCTATTGAATGTATAGCTGCGACGTACGACGGCTGGTTAGCCGCAGATAACGAAGGACCATCGTCCGTATCGTCCAGGTCCGAGATGTGGCGTTTGGTCTAAGCTTACTTCTATTGTCATCCTTACGTGTATTGTCCGGCCCGGTTGTCCGGAGTGACTGTCGCCCGGTGATGAAACATCAGGCCGTTCACTAATTTTCTTCGTTGGCACAACATAATCCCCAACTAATAATCTCCAACTAGGATTTGTTATTGTGGCCGCTCACTGAATGATCCCATTCAATGGACCAATGTGATAAAGTAGCGGAAATTTAGTCTACTTTCTCCTCCTCCTCTAATTTTCTATCGTGTCTAACTATCTGTTTAATTACGCATTCAATTTTCTCGTTTCGAAAACATAACTTATTATCTTTTACTGTTTGCTTATTATCCTCTATGCCAAGATTATTCCCAATAATTTTATAGTAATGACATTTCGGTAAATCGCTGTAATTGGCTGGCTTAATTCTAGCAGTAAGATTTAAAAATCATTATTTCGATATGGTGTCGGCATGTTGCCTATTATTATTTCGTCGATGCCGATGTTTATTAGGTCATAGATTTTCCTCTTTCGATGATATAGAAACCTGTAGGATTCCATAACTGTTCGAAGTTTCTCAAAGAAGGAAAATTGTAGGCCTTCTATTGAATAGCAAATTATAATTTTATGAAATTGATACGTGCTTAGTAAATAAGTAGTACTTAAATAGTAGCTGTGGACTCTCAATTTCAGAATTCTATAATTAAAACGATTTTTACTTAATCGATTGCGCTGCTATGCTATGTGAATTTGCATTCTTCACACTCCTATTTTATTGAGTTTTACGATATATTTGGCCATCGTGATAAAATTAATTAAGATTACTGCCATATCTTAGATCTCTATAAGATATTTCCTGTGACTTTTAATGAATAAGGAAAAAATCTAAGAAACATTTTCTCATAATCGTCATTGGAAGATGCTTTCAGGCATTTTTGTAAGACCAATAAAATTTCGATAACTTGGTCTCCTTAATTGGGAATTGTTTGTAAGAACTAATAGTTTATTAGCCTATATAAACCTTAAAGCATAAAAGGTTTGATCTCATATGTTTTTGTTTTAAATTCCTTAAAATCGAAGAAGTCGTGTTCTTTAAAGTTATACGAAGTATCATTCGATTATTCTGTAATGTATTTTAATGTATTATGATTTTAAAATTCAGGTTTAACTCTAATGATTCACCGGGGTAACTTATAAGTTATAATAGAATGAAAATAAAGAAAACCCTAACAAAAAAAAGCAATTTCGGACTCATACTGTTCATAGCATACGTCCGAAATAGCCAGGCTCTCTAATACTGGACAATGCATTATTATTATTATTTTTCTTGGAGGCAATATGGCTTAGACTTTAGCCATCCCCTTTTTTAATAGATGACTGTGGAATGTCATCTGTCGTACGACTGGTGATAAATGGGACGAAAAAATCATGTCCCGTCTGCCATTTACGTTCCCCGCCCAAATTAAAAATCTATCCTATAAAGTTCATATAGCGTACCGTTGTTCCGCTATGTAATGATGGAAAAATTTCGGCGATTTCGCCAGGCGACTTTTATCCCAGACATGTCGGGGAAATGTCGAGAAAAGACATTTTAATGAATTTAAACTGTAATTCAAATCATCTTATATCATGTAATAACTGCATTTTTTTAAATCTCCAAATATAAAATCGAAATCTTGATAGATCCAATATATTGATAGATCTTTTCATCTTTAAGAGTCTTATCTTACGATTCGATGTTTTGAGGACCGTATCAATATATATTGATATATATAGAAATGTTTCGGCCAATAGGAACTTGCAAGAGTGAATTACAAAACTCCAGAATTTAGAAATTCTTATTTCGAATTCCTAAATTACTTTAGACACTCTCAGGATTGAATATACATTAATGGCGATAATTCGGAACGCGATGGCTGGTGGTAAATAAGAACCCAAATTTCGTTGGAAATTCTTTATTTTGAATTCATAAACCACTCTCGACTCTCTGAGGTTGAATATGCATTAATGTCGATAATTCGGAGCTCGATGGCGGGTGATAAATAAGAACCCAATTTTCATTTCGATAATCCATAAAACAAACATTTTAGGGCTCCCATAAATAAACACCTGTTAAATCGAACAGCAAATATATTTATTTTAGTGACTTTCATCAGATAAGACGACTAATGGGAAGTGAGCAACCCTCTTAATGCGTGAGAAACCAATTTACAAACTGTGAGAAAAGACCACCAATAAAAAGGGCTGCAGTCCCGCGACACTTTATGAAACCATATATTCTGTGACGGTCGATCATTACCGCCATCTAGTGTATTATCCCTCAACTTCACTAAGCCTAACGATGGAGTCGTAAAATTCAAATGAGAGCCCGGTCTATTGATTTGTGTGAGTCGGTAATAGCATCGTCTCCTCACCATCTATCCCCATTCCGTTGGCTGAGATCAGCAGAAGTCGTCGATCGTACCCGACACTGTTTGTGTTATTTTCGGTAGAATTGCCTTCTTTGCACTCATATATCTGCAGAATAGCCTACCGACTGTCCATTTTAATCTACTTGTGACGTGCCTTCCACAGGCCTATCTATCAGATGCCTTTTTCAATTTTTCTCGGTCCCTTTTTTCCCATCAAATTGTCATATCGTACGACTTCAGATTTTAACTTGTCTCTCAGATAATTTTAAATTATAAATAAGTTATAATTATAAATAACTAAGCGTCCTTCTATATTTCAGGTATTTTCGTGCAGGCACATTGTATATTGCAGTTACACATTCTTTAGTTAAAGTAGTATTAATAAACACTACAAGCATGTACTGTACAGTACAGTACACAATAAACATGCTTATCACAGTTATATATAAACTTAATTATGGTTAAAACTTTATAATTCGCTGCTTTTAAACATCCAATTGTCCATTATAATCTCTGTTAATGCGGCGGTGTAAATCTTATAGTCTAGTTTAAGGGATGTAATATCTATTATAGTTTATAAAAATAAAA